TCTCTCTCTCTCTCTCTCTCTCTCTCTCTCTCTCTCTCTCTCCCTCCATGTCTCAAGATCATGGGAGTTTACCTAAGCGTGTGCAAGTTTTTTGAGGGTGTGTGAGTACTCAAAATTGTGCAAGTTTTTTTTTTCCAGCTAGATTATGTCAGAGGCTCCCACGTTTTTACCTCAAACAAGTGAGAAAACAAGGATCCCTTCAGACCTCAGCTGTGGGAACTGGAGTCTGCATTTTTCTGGAGTCAACCCTGTATGAAGAGCACCAAGGTGACCACATTCGGTATCGACGCGTGCACAGACTTTTGCTATCGAAGTCGGAAACGAGACTCGCCACCTTTGTTTTTCTTATCGAACCATTTCTCGATTTGTGTATCCTCCTTGTGCAGAGGCCATGCTAATCCACTCCTCTTTCCCCGAACGTAAGGCATATGGGTTGTGTAAACGAATAAAAGGCATAGGTTGCATTGTATTCGTTTCATATACATATGTGCTATGTTCGAGCTCAGCTGAACGAGTTTAGGCCGCCGGGAAAGGCCGGTACAGACTGAGTAGGCTCAGTTTTGGGCGGTGGCAGGAGGGCTCTACTGCAAATGGCTTGTCACTCGATAGGACCGCCGCAGAAGCCGGATCAGCGGCCTCTTACCGTAGCCTCACCCCCCCCACTCGTCACGCCGCAGAAGCTGGAGCAGCAGCCTCTACTGGTAGCCTCACTTCACCACTCATCATGTGCAGAAAAGAAAGAAAATATGGCAATGTTTCTTTCCATGTTCTAGTGGAAGATTCGTTCTCCTTTTCCCCCCTCGCTGAGCGGTGGAGCGATTAGTACGGCTCCTGGCAGCAGCACACTTCACACTGCCATTTTCTTGGCCTGTCGACTAGTCAGACTGGTGGGTCGCTGGCTTGCGAACGCAAGTCGTACGGAGGGAGAGAGAGAGAGAGAGAGAGAGAGAGAGAGAGAGAGAGAGAGAGAGAGAGAGAGAGAGAGAGAGAGGGCGCTACAGGTGAGTCCTCCATTCTTATTTTTTTAGATTGTTGTTGCGCCTCATGGCATATACAAAAGACAAAAAAACAAGGCTGTGTAATGTTCTAGCCGAAGATTCATACTGATTTGCACATTTGGTGAGTCGTGGGTTAAGGCCCATTCTTCTCCCGCTTTTTTTTTTTTTTTTTTTTTTCCACTTCTTGGGGATGTAATTTATTTGCATGCGAATTGCGCTAACCTCAGGAACTGAAAAGGTAATGTTCTATTTGAATACAACAGTCTTTTCCTTCCAGAATTCAAATAAGATCGCATGCCACTTCTATTCGCGTACGTGTTCTATTTGAAGTGCACCCTTCTATACCCAATCAAAATGGACTAACTTCCAAAAAATCATTTTTTTTGGAAAACTCAAAATAGTAAAATATCAAACTGCATATGCGTTATGTTCGGGGGACGATAGCAGTCACCGGTATTGGCCAGATACATCAAGAAAAGTCCACATGCGAGGAGTGCGCCGTCAGGGGCAAAAGAGCCATGCTGCCAAAATTGTGCCAACAATGGACACTGAAGTTAAATGAACCCTCTTCCCCCCCCTCCCCCCCCCAGGTAATGTACAACTCAACCTCCAATTACCTCACTAGGACTTTTTCTACTAAGCTCTGGATGCAATTGTGGCCAGATTCATCCCGTCCTGGCCGTAATTGCAGTCAGATACATTGAGGAAAGAGCAAGTCCGAGTATGCCCTAACCAGGTTCATGCAGAAAATCATTTGCACTGCGTCCGGACCACACACACTTTATTATTCTTTTCTATATTTCTAATTTCTAAATTTAAACAAAAAATATTATTATATCGTTACGTAATATGTAGTTGTAATTTAAATGACGTTCCGGTCATCGAATGGAATTCTGTGGGGAAAAAAAAAAAAAAAAAAAAAAAAAAACAGAGTAGGCCATTCTTTTCTTGAATTCTGGAATTCTTGAATTCTGGAATTCTTGAATTTTTTTACCAGAAAAAAGGTTCAAGAAATTATTAATTACGACTCATGTGATATGTTGATTGTCGACCTTTATTCACTCGTTCTCGTGTCATTCATTAATTGAATTTAAATTATTGATTCATTATTAATAATTTATTAGCATTCTTTTTTCGACGTCGTCGACCGACTGGATGACAAAAGGGTTTACAACTCGTGTGAGATGATTTTCTGAATTTTTCTCGTTGACCTTATTTAATTCATTATTAATATTTATAATTTATTATCATTCTTTTTTCGGCGTTGTCGGCCGAGTCAATGAAAAAAGGGTTTACGACTCGTGTGAGATGATTTGCTTGTCGACCTTTTTTTTTTTTTTTTTTTTTTTTTCCTGCCAAGGCCATGGCAGACCTACTAAGRGGGGGRGGGGGGGGGGGGGGGGGKGRTACGAGCATCCTCCCCTAGTAAGCTGCGGGTCGATCAGTTTGACTCTGGCCTTCATTCCCTAACCGCCTGTTATGGGCAAGGTCACCGGTTCGACTCCGTCTGGCTGCGGGTCGATCGGTTTGACAAAAGGGTTTGCGGCTTGTGTGAGATGATTTGCTTGTGGACCTTCATTCCCTCCTTCACTTATTCATTATCCTTCTTCCTTCGATGGTGTCGACAGACTCGAAGAGAAACGGGTTATCGATGCCGCGCCTACCCTGGGCGAACTGATCGTCCCTGTCCCCGGCGCATTTTGCTGTAGGCGCACGTACTGCTGCTGCTGCGGCTGATGATGATGGAGGTGGTGATGATGATGCATGGGCGTTTCACCGACAACCACCGTCGGTCCCGTCTTCGACAATATCCCAGGCCCGGCGCCGCCAGACATTCTGATGCCGGTCCCGGTGGACCCTCGGAGCACAGCTTCCGGCGGTACGGCCGCTTCCTTTCTGTTGATGCCGGCTGTGGCATCTACATCAGCCCTCCTACTCAGATCAGAGGGTTCCCGAGCCCAAGGGTCGTTAGAAAAAGGCGGCGTCTGGTGCACCTCAGCTTGGGGCCTCGTTCCCGGACTAGTCATTGGTGCAGCAATGCGAACACCCGACTCCATTGCTGTTGTCGGCGGCAAGACCCGTGGCATAATAGACTTATCCTTGGCCTCCACAAGACTAGGACCTTGACCTTGAATAACCTCACCACATCCCATTTGATTGGATGGCATGGCCGACGCCTGATCCTCAGACCACTGCCAAGAAGAGCCCTTCGTCTGTCTACCACCAACCGCACCGACCCCAACCCCTTTTAGCATATGCCTCTGGGTTACCTGTTTTATTACCCCATAGTACCGATACCCCGCCCAACCAATGACCGTACGTCAGAGAACAGTGCGCCCTGCACGAGCAGGTACATTGTATGACAGAACAACATCCAGGAGAAGTAGCATTCACAACATATATATATATATATCTATATATATATATATATAGATAATGTAACATATATATATATATATATTGTCACAAGAATAGCAGAGCGCAAAAGCGAAGAAAAAGGAAAACAAAGAAAACAAAGAAAAAATGAATTCGTTTTTTAATCTTGTTCCTTACAACTCCCCCTGTTCAGAACCTCTTGCGTACACACATATATATATATCGTCAAATAGAACTGCCCGGTAAACCGTAGGCAGAGAGGGAGAAGAGGACAACAAACGAGGGGCTGTGACAAACTGTATATATATATATATATCGTCATAGATGTATATATATATATAGGGTTCAGCCTCCTGATGAGTCGGTGAAACTCCGACGAAACAGTTTGCCACAGCCCCTCGTTTGTTGTCCTCTTGTCCCTCCCTCTCTGCCTACGGTTTACCGGGCAGCTCTGTTTGACTATATATATAACTCACATTTCGTTAAAACCGACATTTTTTTCCAAATTCACGAAATTGAGCGTACCAAAAAACAGCATTTTTAAGTGTTTTTTTGTCCCCATGATGTCGGATGATCAGACCATCGGGTGTCGTGGCAACTCCCGATGATCTGATCATCGGATGTATGTTAACGGTACTTTACGTTGAGGTACATCAGATGGACAACTGAGATAACCACTTTCTAACCCAATGAGCAATGACATTTTCACCAAGTCCACTTTCGTGAATTTAGAAAAAAATGTCAGTTTTAACGAAATGTCAGTTATATTAACTTATATTATTTATATATCGATGTATCGTCACACATACACACACACACACACACACACACACACACACACACACACATACCTCCTGATGAGTTGGTGAAACTCCGACGAAACAGTTTGTCACAGCCCCTCGTTTGTTGTCCTCTTCTCCCTCTCTGCCTACGGTTTACCGG